AAATCGCGACGGGAGTACCTCGGGGGGAACGGGCAAGTGGAACGCGTCCACAAAACAGTTATCCCAATGATTTCAAAGAAGTGTCAAAGCAACCCCACCCAGTGGTACAACCACGTGGCAAAAGTGTAGCAAGTTCTGAATAACACTATACCGCGCAGCACCAAAGCAACGCCCTTTAGAATTCTTACCGGACTAGACATGCGGGTAAACGATTACCCAGATTTGCGACAAATTTTAGATGAAGTGACAACCGAGGAGCTAGATACTGAACGAGATTTGGTTAGACAAAATGCCCAAGAAAACATCAAGAAAATACAATACGAAAACTGCAGGACGTTCAATAAAAATAGGAAAACAGAAGTCAATTATAACCTTAATGACTTAGTAGCCATTAAAAAAACACAATTTGGCACGGCCATGAAGTTGAGACCGAAATATCTAGGGCCGTATAAGGTAACCGCCAAGTTGAACCACGGAAGATATGAGGTTGAGAAGGTCGGAAATCAAGAGGGGCCGATAAGAACGACAACCGTAGCCGTAAACATGAAACCGTGGCGCTAGTTATTCAGAGTCGAATAAATTGTCAGGACGGCCGATTGTGGGAATGGGATATCGGGGTATATGGCAACACTAGGTAGGTGAACGAAGGAACGACAGAACGAAGGAACGAATAGACAGAGGACGAACTAACGAACGAACAGAAGACATGGTATCCATCCAGAGAGTCTATCATTTTATGTCAAAGCGCGCACAACACAGTCGCCAAACTGTCGCATAGCTGTAGGTCGAAATTATTGTACAATTGAACATTCGAATAAACGTCACTTTATTTACATAACCAAGCGAACCGTCTTTCCCTACATATATATGTAAAGAAATTTTCTATAACGGGATGCGAGCACCGTTTTTATTAAACTTATAAGATTTTTCTTTAGAGGATCAAAATGTATGCGCGATTTGGCTAGTTTTTGGGCTGTTTTTTGATGAAATGGGGTTAGTAAGCAATTCAGATTCTTACTTACGGTTTTTTAGGGATACTTTTTATTTGGGTTCTGAATTCCAACGGTGCTGGCTCTTTCAAGGCGACGAAGGACCAGTGTTTAG